CCCCAAAACCCCAAAACCCCAAAACCCCAAAACCCCAAAATATGTAAGATTTATTGAAATATACTATAAATCATATCTTCTGTCTCTTTTCATCATTATTCTTCTTCCAAAGTCATTTCTCAAATTTCAGAGGGAATTATGATGTCAAATGAGAGATCTTAGGGTAAAGAGGACTGACTATTGGAATAGTCTCTCCTTATTTGGGTTATCCCACCTTTTCATTTTCTAACCAGTCCTCTTTTTTGAGTTATCTATTGTGTTAAAGCCACTTCTCATAGGAGGGCTTTTGCTTCTGAACAGACGTTCGCTATAAATTTGTTCTCTATTTTTAAGCTCAATATTTTTCAAGCTGAATATTTTCCTATCTGTGTCAACCCGGAGAGAGGGAAAGTTGACATTCCTTGACAAACAAGAGTTTACCCACTTCCTGTGGCTATCTCTGAAATTTCTTACTTTGTTGTCTCTGAACCTAGAGAATAACTATATCATCATGTTTGATAAAATTACTGTTCTTGACAGGTCTTTATACTGATAATGCTTCTGATGTAGATCTCCAATAATCCCGGTCATAGCCTCCTTTTGAGGGGTACGTTTTGTATTCAAATGGGAGGAATTTTGATTGCTCATCTGTCATCGGGAATTAATTAGGTTGATTACATCACTAGCTTTTATAACTATTTTAGTAATTTTTGAAAATTCTTACTTTTTACTTCCTTATTTAAAGTCTAAAAATATTGCAAAATCTAAAACTTACCTTTCTGGATTTTATTCATGTTATTTCTGTTCAAGCTGAAATTCTTGCTATTTTTCATTCTTCCTTTTAAGGACATCGATGAGGTTGTGTTCATCCTCCTCTAATATTTCATCTTCAACCACAATGTCTAAATCTGGTTAGGAACTACTTACTTGGACGGTTGAGGATAATGGAGTTCTTAGAGTCTTCAGGAGTAGGGTTGTTCGAACTTGAGTCCTTCTTCGCAATCCCAATTGCGATTTGGAGTTGATTCAGACCTTTCAATCCAGGGGATATAAAGGTCGAAGCTTTTCGTAAGCCTTGAGCAGGATTTGTCTGCTTCACAGGTTTATTGTCAATCTCTTTATTTTTTGATAGCTGTTGACTTGTAGATCCTTCCTCTGATTCAGATGGTGATTTATTTAGATCTCGTATTACTGGGTAAGGTAGCATATATTACACTCCTGGATTTCTGTCTTGAAAATTTGAACTTGAAATCGCTAATCTCAATTCTACAGTTACTTGAGAAGTTACTTTGGGTTATCTATTTCGAGTCTTGAGTCCTATAATTTCATTAAGTAATCCTTACACCCATCTTGCTAGTAGATAGAATTACTGCGGTTGTTTTGTGTTCACTCCTCACTGCCACTTATGTTATTTGCAACAAAGGATCCTTTTCCAGCGAGGGAATCTTTTCCAGCGAGGGAATCTTTTCCAACCAGAGAGCCTCTGGTAATCAGAATTCTCTCTGTATAACACATGAATAATATTTTTGGGTGCCTACCTTTGGTAAACTTAGTGACTATGCTTGAGGAAAGAACTCGCTTATGGCTTGGGTAATCATTGCCTAGGTGTTACTATACTATCTTACTATCTTTCATCATGGATTTTCTTCTAATTCGCTTGTTAAACTTTCTATTCCTTGACTGACGGTTCATTCTTTGCACTGCAATATTATGATTATTCTCTTCATTAAAATTCTTCTTATACTGAATATGATCTAGATATCTAAAATCAATGAAAAAGAGATTTACCGCTGAAAATCATTAAATGGAGAATAAATCAACTCCTGAAGCTTCTTCCAGGTCGGCTTGGCATTTGCTGTGACCACACCTGGGACTTCAAAGAAAGGAGTGTTCTCAAATAAGTCATTCAGAGGGTATTTCAGCTTCTCAAAATTAACCTTTTTAGTTTGAGGATCTATGAACGATCACTATAGAGTAATGAATAAGAGCATACCTTTGGCGCTCTCTTCCTCCACACTTTTGACTATATTCATATGGTAATATGGACAAAATAGTTAGCTAAGTGGTATTCCAACAGGAAATTTATTTGAGCTATTAGCTCTTAGCATTGTCTAATTTTATTCTTTGGCTTGGATTCATTCACAATGAAATTTATTATGAAAATTTGACATGGAATATCAAAATAAATTGGATTGATAGCTTTAAAGAAATTTTTGAAATTTATGCTTTATTAGGGCATATTGAAACAAAATAGACTCTTGTACCTGTGGAAGTCCAATGTTATACATCTTCTTCTGCTTTCTTGATTTGGGAAATCTTCGAACAGTTTTTCTTGAAACAACTGACAAGTTATCTGACATGCTGTCGTATCTTCTCTGATTGAGTCTTGAAGCTCTCACTGCATTAGTTAGAGATAATTTTATGAGAGAAAGATAATTGTGCATATAATAGATCATTATTTCTCCTAACTAATATAAACTCTAAGAATAACTTTTAGTCCAAGCATCAATATTATAAGACAAAATGATTAAAACTATCTCATAACTCCTCTCCAAATATCTCTTCCATACTCTAACATACAAAAAACTCTATCTACTCAAAATTCAACTTCCCGATATCATTTTCATGCTATCCAAAAACCCACTTACTCTCACAGCCCTCCACTTTATCCAAAAATAATTCTATATTATATAACCCACCTGGGGTTTTGGGGTTTTGGGGTTTTGGGGTTTGGGG